ATGTGTATGGGTCGTCGGTTGAGACTGATAAAGAGGAGTTTTTAAGTGAGCTAATGTGTTTTACACAACAGCTTGATTTGCCTGTATGCTTAGGGGGGGATTTCAATGCTTATCTAGATCCCGAGGAGAAGATTGGAGTCCAACAGAATTGGCATTCTATGGAGTTATTTTCCAACTTTGTCTTTAATCTTAACCTTATGGATCTTCCTTTAGTTGGAGGGAGATTTACTTGGTGCAACAATAGAGAAGCTTCAACGTGGATTAGATTAGATCGGTTTCTATTAAGTGGTGCATTTTTTCAGGTATTTCCAAAAGTCATCCAGAAATTGTTGCCGAAATCCTTATCTGATCATAACCCTATAATTCTGGAAGATGACCACAACAATTGGGGACCTAAACCTTTCCGGTTTTTTAACTATTTACTAGAGGATGAAGGGTTTGATGGGTTGGTTCATAATGCTGTGTATGATTTAAAGAGGGAGAATGCAAGAAGGGGTATGTTGAGTATTCTTCAAGGAACGAAGAAAGCTATTAAGAAGTGGCCATACTACAATAATATGGGGATTTCAGAAAAGATTTCAGAGCTCGAAAATAGGATAAACGACTTGGAATTAAAGACTCAGGGTAGGGGAACTTCAACACAAGAATGGGGTCAACTAGTAGCTTGGAGGAATGAATTGTGGGGTCTGCATAGGAAGGAGGAGAGTATTTGGTTCCAAAAATCACGAAATAAATGGATCAAGGATGGGGATAGAAATACCAGATATTACCACATTTGCGCTCTGAATAGGAGCAGAATAAATGCTATTTCGTCTTTGAAAGTGGCTGGGATTGATATTTCTGATCCCAGCATGATTAAATCGGCTATCTTTGATTACTTTAAAGTAAATTACAATGAGATAACATCTCTGGAGGTGGAGGAATGTAATCTGAATTTTGCCAAATTGACCGTGGAACAAAAGGCTGGATTAGAGGTTAGTATCACTGAACAGGAAGTGTGGGATGCTGTTTTTAAGGCGGACAGTGCTAAGGCACCTGGTCCGGATGGATTTACTATGGGGTTCTTTAAAAAATACTGGACTATACTGAAAGACCTTGTCATGCAGTTTGTTCAAGATTTTCAAAGAGGGAAATTATGGGAAAAGGGAGTGAATCATTCCTTTATTACGTTAATTCCTAAGAAGGTTAATCCACAGGGAATTGAGGACTTCAGACCTATTAGTCTCGTTGGCAGTCTCTACAAGATTATTTCTAAAATACTATCGAAAAGACTAGTCTCTGTTATTCAAGGTTTGGTTAGCCCTTCACAATTCTCATTTATTCCGGGTAGGCAGTTGCTAGATTGTGCACTTTTGGCAAATGAAGGAATTGAATATTGGAGAAAACAAGGGAGGAAAGGAATTGTCTTTAAAGCTGACTTCCGTAGGGCCTATGATTCGGTTGAGTGGCCTATCTTATTCAGGATTTTGAAGGACATGGGTTTTGGGGATAAATGGATCTCATGGATTAAATGTTGTGTTTCAACTGCATCTATTTCGGTGTTAGTTAATGGTTCCCCTACCGAGGAATTCAATATTAGTAAAGGGTTGAGACAAGGGTGCAGCCTATCCCCTCTCCTATTCAATTTAGTGGGGGAATTATTAAATCTTATGCTGATTAAGGCAGTTGATAAAGGTCTGTTTCAAGGGTTTAGCATTGGTAGGATTGGCAATTCCTTCCAGTTGACTCACCTGCAGTTTGATGATGATTTAATACTCTTCTGCAGCGATTCATCAATGCAATTTCTAAACTTGAGAAGAGTGTTGAGGGTCTTCGGTGTGATGTCTGGGGTGCATTTAAATCTGTCAAAGTGTACTGTATTTGGGGTTAATATAGATGCTGACAGGGTTCAGGATTGTGCTAGGAAAGCAAGATGTGGAGTGGGGTATTTTCCAATGTCTTATCTTGGTTTACCGATTGGATCTAGGAAACATTCAGTGGGTATGTGGGAACCGGTTGTCCAGAATTTTAATAAGAAGTTAGCTGGGTGGAAAGTAAATTCACTGTCGTTGGCGGGCAGACTTGTTTTGGTTAAATCCGTGCTTTCATCTTTGCCAATTTTTTACCTTTCTATTTTCAAGATTCCACACAAAGTGTCTCAGAAGTTGAACTCGCTGATGGCCAACTTCCTTTGGGGTTATGATCTTGAGAAAAAACGAATCCACTGGGTGAATTGGAAGTCGGTTTGTCAACCAATCGAAGAGGGTGGTCTGGGAATTTTGGATTTAAGGTTGATTAATAGGGTCCTTCTAGGGAAATGGGTTTGGAAATTTGCCAATGAAAAATATAGTCAGTGGAAGAATCTGATTTGCAGCAAATCCAACGTTAGCATTTTGTCTCTCTCAATTTTAGAAGCGTCTACACCTTTTGATTCCTGGATATGGAGAGGTATCCTCAGTAACTATAATAAGAATGATCAGGTTGGTGGATGTTTGAGAAATAATTCAAAGGTCATTGTAGGGAATGGGCGGTCGATTGCTTTTTGGAATGATGTTTGGATTTCTAATCTGCCTTTAAAAAGACAATTCCCAAGAATTTATGCTTTGTCGACAAACAAATGGGGGATGGTCTCTGAGTTTGGTGAGTATGAAGATGATGTTTGGGTTTGGAATATACAACTTAGAAGAATTTTGTGTGATTGGGAATTGGACCAGTGGATTGCTTTTATGTCTTTGATTGACAAGTCGTCGCTGTCACGATGTGTGGATGATTTTTTGGGTTGGTCAGGAAAGGGGGATGGCATTTTTTCGGTCAAATCTTGTCGATTATCGTTACAAGATAGTTCGGCAGGGAGTTTTGTATGGAAGAAGTGGGTTTGGGATGGATTGGCGCCTCCAAGAGTACAAACTTTTTTATGGCAGATCTGTCATCAGAAAGTGGCAGTGAGAGTGGAATTGAAGAGAAGAGGACTTCAGATTTCGGATGTTCTTTGTCCTCTGTGTCATGCTCAGGATGAAACTATTGCACACCTGTTCCTATCGTGCCCTATTGCCTCGGATTTGTGGAGTAAATTTCTAAGGTTATGGAATATCTCTACGGTGATGCCTTAAGACCCTTCTTCAATTTTGTGCTCGTGGTTGAACCTAAGGAATAATTCCCTTATTTGGAGGTTTATTCCGGCTGTCATATTTTGGTCTATTTGGAAGGCCAGAAATCAGGTTGTATTTGAAAACGGCATATGTGACTCTACTGTTCTGTTTTTCATTACTAGATTTAGATTGTGGCTAAATGGTTCTTGGCTAAATACCCTGGGGTTCGGATTCTGACAGACCTTCTAGTAGGGGATCCTACGCGGGCGGATTTATTACCCTCTAATTCGAGTTCTAATAAGGTTATTTGCTGGACTCCTCCGCCATCTGATATGTTCAAACTCAATGTTGACGGAGCAGTGACTGGAGATGGGATGCAGGGTGGTATTGGTGGTGTTTTGAGAGACTCCTACAGCTGCATTTTAGCTAATTTTTCTTCCGCAGTGGGCCCTGGTCCCCCTATACTATCTGAACTGAAAGCGATTAAGAAAGGACTGCTCTTCTTCTTTTCATCCGATTGGGCCAACAAGGGAAGACTTATTTTGGAAAGTGATAACAAATATGCAGTAGATTGGATTTTAAAACGGCAACCTTCCCCTACTATTTTCAGTGAGTTGGTGGAGGAAATAGGAGTTCTTGTTACTACAAAGGGTGTTGTTCTGAGATGGGTTTCTAGGAGTTGCAATATGGAGGCGGATAGGTTAGCTAAACAGGGAATCGGATGACTGTTGAAGGTTTAGTGTTGTACTTTACGATAGTGTTGGTGTGGGGTTAGGCTGATGGGTGATTCTTTCCCATCGCTATTTGTATTATGGTCATGATGTATTTTCGAGGGTTAGAGTGTTATGTTTATCCTGTGTTTCTCAGGATCAGGATGTTTTGTGTATCTTATGTAATTCTGGTTTTTCAATAAAATGAGGTGCTCTTTTCCTCCCTCAATTAGTTTACATCAAATGTAAACTATGAGGGAGGTTCCTAATGAGTCCTCCTATTCCTATCAAAAAAAAAAATTTATATATGTAAAATATTTAAAAGGAGAACAAACTTTATGAGATTATTTTTGTTTAACCATCGTGTCCATTTCTTTCCCTTACTTTCTATGCAGTCATTTATGCCTAAAGTTGCTTTAGTTGGTGCTTGGACTAAGTCTGCTCACAGATTATGGGTCAAACGGTTGCGACGGACATCGTCTTTGTCTGAACTTTTGCAGGTAGTCTTTTTTTTTTGTAATTACATGCTTAGAGTTTTTGAAGTAGTTTGGTAAATTTTTTATGCCGACACTAACTGTAAAATGGACCATCTCAAATCATGTTTGCAGGTTGTTACCGATTTTGTTGCAGCAATTAATGAGAATTGGTGGAATCAATGCCATATTGAACAAGAGGGTTGTACTATTATTAAAGAAATCATAGCATTCTTTCCAACCATGCCCCAAACATCATCTGCACTTGCACTCTGGTTGGTGAAGTTGGATGAGTTCATTGCATCATATTTGAAGAAGGTTCATTCTGAAGGGAACTAGAAAATGGGACCAGATTAGGTATATTCCTTTATCTACAAAGTTTCTTTACATGTGTGGTATCTGGTCGTCAAAGTGGAGCAACTTGTTTCTTTCTATTTACTAAATGAATTGTTTTGTTTATACAGATGAAGAATCGATCATGCTATGTAGAATGTGATTGTTATGCTTTATAATTTCTTAAATACAAGTAGTTGATATTTGAGTTTGTGAAAATCACACGGGGATCTTTCCTTATGCTAGTTGATGGTGATGGCAATTTCTTCTTAAGCAGAGAATATTTCTAGCAGTTTAGGTTTTAGCTTTAGTGATGTTTTCAAGAATTAACCTTGAATCTTGGTTCTAGCTGCTAGTTAGTTCTCCTGGAATTTCTTCTAGGCAGGACAATATTTGCTTTATCTTGGGAACAAAAGATGGGAGAGAGAAAAGTAGAGAGAGAAAAATTAAAAGGGAAAATAGTTTCCGACGAGGTCTGGAAGGCTTTTGTCGATAATCTTAGTAGGAGAGTTTCTCGGCGGGAGCTTAGGGATATCTTTTCGTCCCATGGGACTGTGGAGAGAGTTTTCATCCCGAAAGAAACCAAAAATCCAAAATACAAATTTTCCACTTTTGCTTTTGTTCAGTTTGAGAGGGAATCTAGTTTGAAGAGGGCAATCGAGATGTTGAATGGTTCACTGATAGATGGGAGAAGGATTTCTGTTGGAATTGCTAAATACAATGATGCTCGTCCAAGGATTGTGGCAAACAAGAGTCCAGGTAAGTTGGTTCCAGATTTGTCCACAGCAGGACCTCCTAAGTTGAAAGAGGTAGATTTAACCAGTAGGAGTGTTAGAGATGATAGAACGTACAGAGATGCTTTACTTACTGAGGTTACGAGGGTGAATGCATTGGAGTATAGGGAGAAATTTTCTGAAGGGAGCCATAGGGAGAAAACCAAGAAGAATGTATTGGAAATGTATATCCCAACTGAGGGTCGGAGTTGAGTCAGAAGATCTTTAACGGGGATTATTAAGCTCTCTCTTGATTTTAAATCAGTTTATGAGTTTTTCCTCAGTAACAGTTATGAAGTTCAGATTGCTGGGCGGGGTTATGCCCGTAACTCCTGTGCTATCATCTTCAAATCTCAAGAGGAGATGTCGGAGGCATGAACAAAGAAGAGAGGTGTTATAGGCTTCTGGTTTGACAGATTGGCCCCTTTACTGAATGAAGGAGTGCCAATGGCTTTCTGCCAGCTCGAGTTATCTGGGGTGCCTCTGTTATGCTGGGATGAATCTTTTTTGGAACAAGTTGCTGGGAGATGGGGGAATAACGTAGAAATTCATGAGTCCACAAAGAATAGGGATGATCTCACGTCTGCTAGAATTCTTATGAGAGTTGCTAGTCCTTTTGATGTTCCCGATATTATTACTCTCGGCTCCTATGGCAGATCGTATAGAGTCTCCATTAAAGTTGGATCAGCTAGTGAAGATTCAAATCCTTTTTTTAAATTTTCTCCGACGACCGGAACATTTGGGAAACAGTTTAGTGAGACAGGGTCTGAGGAAGGCGATTATAGAGGGAAGTCAGATTATGAGGAAAGCTCAGTCAAATCAGCTGAGACGCTCAGACAAAAGGTTGACTTGTGGATTGAAAAGGGCATGGCCTTTGGTTCAGAAGGTACTGATGGGGAAAAACAACATCTTCCAAGACTTACTAAACATGGGAAAAATATTAATGAAGGAGTGTCAGATGGTCAGAACCTTGGGAATATCAGAGGTGACTTTGCAGGTCTGGGTATCAGATTTTCAAAAAGTTCGGCTGATGGGCCAGAAGCCCAATCCGAGGACTTTGAACTGGGTGGTTTGGAGGCTTCAAACATAATTCCTTTTGGGCCAGCGTATACAATTAATAAATTTGGTAAGTTGGTCCAGAACAGGGGAATTGCAGAAGCAAGCTGTGTCAGAAAACAATATAAGGGGTTCAGCTCTATTCCAGGTTCGCCCGGCAGTGCGGATCTGGAGGTTAATAACACTAACTCTAAGCTGACAGCTCCTAGTTCAGAATTATCAAAGAGCTTTTCAAGGGGCAGAACGAGGGTGGTGCGTAGAAGTTCCCTTTCTACAAAAAGTGAGCCTCTTCAGAGGAGGGAAATGGCTAGCTTTAGAAGAGTCTACAGAAGATGTAAAGAGAGGAATTACTGGTACGGGAATGATCAAAAAGAAAATAATGCTACAGAGGATGTGATAGGCCTAAAGAAGGCTAATGAACAGGTTTATACGACGGTTCTCCAGATTACTACAACATCAGAGTCTAATTTACGGGGCAGTGAGGTTCCAAATTTAGTGGATAAAGCTGGGGCCAGGAGTTTGGTTGAAGAGTCCGAAGGTGGTGTTAAAGGAAAACATTTGTCTATCTACAATTATGACCCTACTAAGAGAAGGGCAAAAAGAATTCTGGTTAGAGAAGCTTTGGAACATGTCAATATTTATACAGCATCGTCTTCAGGTTTCTCGGAAATCTTGGATGAAGCAGTAGCTACATGGCAAGTTAGTCAGATTCTGGGGGTTTCTTTTACACAGGGAAAGGAAGCTTTCTTGGATAAAATCATTGAGCTAGAGAAAGGTTTGAAGGAGGCAAACTAAGTTGCCATCTTGGGGAAACTAGATTATTCATCAGTTTTTATGAAGGATAAACTAGCTATAATCTCATGGAATGTCAGGGGTTTGGGAAAAAGAGAGAAACAAAGAGCAGTTCAAAGATTAGTCTCCAACTATCATCCTTCTTTTCTTTGGTTACAAGAAACTAAAATAGAGAACATCCATAGGTCTTTTTTGAGAAGGAAGGGATTGAATATTTTTCAGGGGGTTGTTAAATCTCCAGCTACTGGTTCTTCAGGGGGGTTATTATTTTGTTGGGATGAAAATGTGTTTGAAATGGAAAAACACAACATTAACAGAAGATTCATTGCGGTTATGGGGAAGTTCAGGTTTAATCAGTTCAGAAGTATTCTCATTAATGTTTATGGACCCTCAATGGATGGAGAAAAAGAAAGTTTTTTTGAAGAACTGAGCGTGTTCATTACTGGACAGGAGTTGCCGGTTTGTGTTGGAGGGGACTTTAATGTCTACTTGTGTGAGGATGAGAAGGTGGGCAGAGCTCAGAACATACTTTCAATGAGGATCTTCACTCAGTTTATTCAGTCAACAGGTTTAATTAATCTGCCTTTGAATGGGGGAAGGTTCACTTGGTGCAATAACCAAGATGATCCGACTTTTGTTAGGTTGGACAGGTTTTTGGTGGACGGAAAATTCTTGGATGGTTTTCCCGAGGTAATTCAGTCACTTATTCCTAAGTCTATTTCAGACCATAATGCTATTCTTTTACAAGATGGCGGAGTTGATTGGGGGAAAAAACCTTTCAGACTATATAATTATTTGATGGAGGAAGAAGGTTTTGAGGAAATGGTCTGTCACACTATAGCAGATTGCAAGAAGGATGGGAGAAAAGCTGGAATCCTAAGTGTTTTGAAGAAGTCTAAGGTTGCCATTAAGAATTGGACAGGGCAGAAAAATCAATTTCTGGGAACCTCTATCTCAGATTTGGAAAGGAGAATTCACAAGTTAGAGGAGGACGTTCAGATGTTGCAGGACAGTTCGGTTCAAGGGAAAATCGAAGAGTTACGTAATTGTAGATCAGAGTTGTGGAGATTCCTGCGAATTGAGGAACAAATTTGGCATCAAAATTCCATAAATAAGTGGATTAACGATGGGGACCGAAACACTAGATTCTTCCATACTTGCGCTTCAGTTAGAAGAAAACGGAATGCGTTGAATGCCTTGTTAATTGAGGGGAATATTACTCATGATCCAGTAGTAATTAAGGCCACTGTTAAAGAGCACTTTTTTAATATTTTCAATAATCGGTCTACTTTGGATGTGGAAGACATTGGGTTGACGTTTCCTAGAATTTCCATGGCTCAAAACATTTTTTTAGAGAAGGAATTTTCAGAGGAGGAGGTTTGGGAGACTTTAAAGTCTTGCGATAGTAATAAGGCTCCGGGGCCCGACGGATTGAACTTGGGATTTTTTAAAAGGTTTTGGTCTGAACTTAAAGGTAACATCATGCAATTTTTTCACAGATTCCACAGGGGGAAAAATTGGGAACATGGTATTAACCATACCTTTATTACCCTTATTCCTAAGGGTTCTAACATTGGAAGTTTAGATGATTATAGACCTATTAGTCTAGTAGGAGGTGTATACAAGATTCTTTCCAAGTGTCTGTCAAGGAGGATTAGAAGCTGTATGGGAGAGATCATCAGCCAATCACGATTTGCTTTTATACCCGGTCGGCAAATTTTGGATTGCTCCCTCATTGCTAACGAGGGCATTGATTATTGGAGGAAGAAAGGGCTAAAGGGTTGTGTTTTTAAAGTAGATTTCAAAAAGGCTTATGACACAGTTGATTGGCCTATCTTATTCAAGGTGATGGAAAAGATGGGATTTGGTTCGACTTGGATTAGTTGGATCAGGAAATGTGTCTCTACTGCCTCCATTTCAGTGTTAGTCAATGGGTCTCCAACCGAGGAATTTCCGATGGCCAAGGGACTAAGACAGGGGTGTTCACTTTCACCTTTGTTATTCAATCTAGTAGGGGAGTTGTTGAATTTATTAATACTGCGGGCTGTTTCTGAAGAACTATTTTCTGGTTTGACAGTTGGTAAGGAGGAAGGGTCTTTCAAGCTCACACATTTACAGTTTGCTGATGATTTAATTATCTTCTGTGGAGCTTCGAAAACACAGATAATGAATGTGAAGAGGGTACTTAGAGTTTTTGAGGTTATGTCAGGGCTGCAACTTAATCTAAAGAAAAGCAGTTTGTTTGGGATTAATATATCCCAGGAGGAGGTTTAGACCTGGGCAGCCTCTATTGGTTGTTCGGTGGGGAGTTTCCCCTCTAATTACCTCGGTCTCCCATTAGGGGCAACTAAGAATGCATCGGCTATTTGGGAACCGGTGGTGCAGAATTTTCATACTAAATTAGCGGGTTGGAAGGCTGCTACACTTTCTTTAGCAGGGAGACTGGTTTTGATCAAATCGGTTCTGTCCTCATTGCCTACATATTTCTTGTCTATGTTCAAGATTCCAGTTTCAATCCTTAAGACTCTAAATTCGATCATGTCTAATTTTTTATGGGGAGGGAGAGGGGGAAATGGTTCAAAGAAGATTCACTGGGTTAAATGGGATGATGTATGTAAACCTAAGAACGAGGGTGGTCTGGGAGTCCGGAATCTGACTAGTATGAATAGAGCATTGCTAGGGAAATGGTGTTGGAGATTTGCAAATGAGAGACACTCTGTTTGGAGGAATTTTATCTGTAGTAAATACAACATTGATTCTTCAAGGTTACTGTTTGATAGCAAGGTTCCTCCTCAATCTTCTTGGCTTTGGAGATCGGTGGTTAACAATCATTACAAACAAGACTCCTTTGGCTCTAAGTTTCGAAGTTTGTGTAGTTTTTATGTTGGAAATGGTAAGCTTATTCGTTTTTGGCAAGATAATTGGGCTGCAGATTATCCGCTTCTGTTTCTCTTTCCTAGATTGTTTTCGGTTACTTTAATAGATCTGGTAAACTTTGTGAGTTTGGGGAATTCCTTCCTTCTGGCTGGGTTTGGGATGTCCAAATCAGAAGAAATTTAAATGATTGGGAGGTTGAACAATGGTGTAACTTGATGAGCTTTATCTCTCCCTATTCTTTGTCTAAAGATTCCAGCGATATTTTACTTTGGAAAGGCAATGGGGATGGTGTTTTTTCAGTCAGTTCTTGTATTAAAAGGTGTGCTTCTGGATCAGATGATGGTTGCTTCTGGAATAGCATTATTTGGAGAGGTTTGGTACCCCCTAGAGTTGAGTCTTTAATGTGGCAGGTTGTGCTTGGCAAGCTAGCTGTTAAATCCGAACTGATCAGAAGAGGGGTTCAAGGTATCGAAGATGATTTATGCCCTCTTTGTAAATTGGTTGAGGAAACTTCCACGCACTTATTCTTTACATGTTCGGTTGCATGGGCTATGTGGTACAAGTTTTATAATTTTTGGAGATTTAGTTCTGTGCTTCCTGCTGATGCAAAAACCTTTCTTACTGCTTGGGATGAGTTGAAATCAAATTCTTCT